AAATCGAAGAAGAATGTACAACATTTTATACAATATCAATTTTCTTATAATTAAAATCCTAGCGTTTGAATAGGTATATTTGATTTTCTAATTTGTATTCTTTATATTTTTTGTACTATTATTAAAATATCCTAGGTTTATTTATTTCTGTTGACCATCCTTAAAGTTATGTAACAATTTTTCAGTCGAACGGCTGGATCATTTTTTATGTTCGTTGGCTGAAACTATTCAGTGAGACCCAGTTAGTGTTTTAAAACCAATTTGGGCCAAAAATTCTAACAAATCATTGCATAAAATGTGTTTAATCTGTTCTTTAAAACATAATTAACAACTTATTCACGGAACGCCTCGCCCGACTTTTAAGTTAAATGGTTGGCTCGACTTAAAAACATTGCTCACAACAGGTTGCAAACCTAAGGTCACCAATATCAATGAAACTTTTTCTGGTGATACTAGATCGAAAAGTATTAGAACTATGTCCGAAGGTCCTTGCCGATGCGCCCTAGGATCCGAGAAAAAATATTTTATACAATTTCAATTTGTAATTAATTTAATAACTTTATACAACAAAATATATATATATATATATTTGTATACAGCTTTAAATTTATTAATTTCAATTTTTTTTCTAATTTTTAGGTTATTACATACCAATAGATTACTTTTTTCTTATTCTGAACAAAAAAAGTAATTGATTAGTATATAATAACCTAAAAATCTGTGCAAAGTAAAGGCAATAATTAATAACATCAATTTATATTTTAATTATATAATATATTATTATTCTTGGTTCATTGTCAAGAACCCTGGGACATGAATCTAATATTTTTTCGACCTAGTATCACCAAGATAAGTTTCATTGAAACCGGTGACCGAACGTCCATAATCCCTCTATTTTCAGTAAGATTTCTTTAATGTTTTGAATAAATCTGAACTCAAATAATGAAAACAGATTTTATTATATTTTAATTTTCTATGTATGGAGGTGATCGGGTCAGGATCACGCTCATCCGCTATGTTTTCCCTTAATTTATTACTTTTAATTAAGAGTACCCACCTTAAACGCCGGATGTGCCCCAGAACGATCTGTTAATCCCAGGATCGATCCAAGGCTAAAGAAAAATGCTTGACATCAGCTGAATTCAAACCCTGGAGTATGCTCAAATTGTTTGGTTATTTCGAATCGTATAATGTGTAAGTTATACCGATCATATGTGTTGAACTAAAATTGTTAATACTTGATTAACTAGAAGCATTAAAATAAAATAAAATGTTTCTATTAAAAAATAAGACTACAGCAATAACACTATCAATCCTTAAAAAATGTATTTGCTTACGTTACCTTGACTAATTTCTAGGGAAATTGATGTTTACGAATATTTAAAATTAGTGTTGTACATGTACTGGTACAACATCCGAAATTCTTGATTTTCGTTCGGGTTTTGAAGGCATTTGACAGTTATACCAAGTTTAAATATTCGTGTATCTCAGTTTCCATGGCAACGAACCTGGTTGTTTAAGTAAATGGAAAGTGTTATTTCTGTAGTACCCTTTTTTTGTGTAAAGTGAAAACTTCTTTAGGCTCTTTGCACTTTTTTTGTGAAGAGTGAATTAGATTTAGCTGTCAGATCTGCGATGTGTAACGCTCGGGTAAAGTCGACTGGAGTCAACTAATCGAAATATTTTTAGTATATGGATTAAAATACATCAAAAACTAGATCGGAACTGCATATTGTTAGCTAGGGAAACGTTTATCATTTGATTCTCTTTGTGATGAGCTATTATTCAAAATTGTATCTTAAGAAGACGCCGTATTAGAGAGGCGAAAAGATAAAAAATAATTTCGAAAAACAAATGATAACTTAACATATGTCTATTATAGGCCATAGGTCACCAAAAAAACACAGTTTTTTTATATATTACATGAAAATGGCACCAAACCCGAAGGATGGGACTAGAAAACAAATGATAACGTGTTATATGGAATATATGGCTTAAAATATCTCAGAAACTAAAATCGGACCCACATCCTGTAAGCGAGGGAAATTTTTAGCATTTCATCCTCTTTATTATGAGTTATTATTTCTAATTTATACTTCCTGCAGGTGTTCCTCAAGGTAGTATCTTAGGTCCTATCCTTTACACAGTTTATACAGCTGACATCCCAACACTGTCATCACCACATATGCTGATGACACATGTATCCTATCAATTAATAACGACCCATCTATTGCATCCCAAACCCTTCAATCCCACATCACAAACCTTGAAGAATGGTGTCAGAACTGGAGAATTAAAATAAATTGCAATAAATCCCATCAAATTACCTTCACCCTTCATCGTAAACCAATGACTTCCTGTCCTTCAGTATCCTTTAACAACACCTCACTTATTCCTGTTGAACAAATCCGTTACCTAGGACTCCATCTGGACAAATGTCTAACTTGGAATCCTCATACCAGACTGAAACGACAAGAAACAGCTCGGCGTTTCCGACTACTTCAACACTTACTAGACAAACGCTCTAACCTTCCAATCAATTATAAAAGACTCATTTACATGACTATAATAAGGCCTATTTGGACTTACGGAGTTAAGCTATGGGGCTCCACCAAAACTTCAAATTCCTCTCGCATACAATCCCTTACAATCCAAAATCCTTCGTAAAATCCTCAATGCTCCTTACTTTGTTACAAATAAAATTATCCATAATGACCTTAATGTTCCTTATGTATCAGATTTGGCCCAATCCAGATATCTGTCCTTCCATAATAAACTTCATAACCATCCCAACCCTCTTGTCTCTAACCTTGCTTCCTATTCGATTCCTGATAACCCTCCGAGGCGTCTGAAAAGAAGATGGCCACGTGATCTTCTAATATAGACATATTATTAGAGTGCTACCAATGGGTAGTTTCTCAACATGTGTTCCATGCCATTATATCCATGTGCGAATTTACCAGATGTATTTTTTGTATACAGTTGTAAATATCATATAAATAAATAAATAAAAAGATGTATTCTTCATCATATTTGTGTCGTCTTGTTGATGTTTTCATTTCAATCGTGTGGTCTAAAGCACAAACCTTGGTTTTTTTAATTATTTTTTTTTATTCTAAAATAGTCGTCATGATACTTAAGGAATGCCTATCTGGTGACTACATCAACACGTGTGTCCTAACCACACACACTGAGCAGGGATTGGACTCCTGAGGACAGTTAGCCATTAACATATAAAAGAAAAGTGAGGCTCTCTTATCAATAAGAGGAAGGTGAATCAGCTAGAGGAGCTATTTGTTCATTATACGGGGCGAGGTGGCGAGCTGTTGACACAACACTCATTGTAAGTTCTAGCTGCGGGGCTTTGTGTGCCCGCGCGGCAGACAATCGCTTCGCCCCATTAAAACTGTTAATAAATCTCCAGGTTTGTGTGGTTTCATCAAAGATAGGGACCAAGGAGGCCTCCATTGCTAACAAAGGGCTGGTAATTAGTCAACCTCAATCTGTCCCTAGCCCTGAAAAATTACTATTTTGTATACTTGTTCCTTATTCAGGATGTGATAATGAATATTAAAGTTTGTTGTAGCTTAGTCAATCAGCAATGATGTTATGTATATAATATAATATTTTATTACTATTTAGCCCGTGCGAATAATTCGCAGAATATATTGTTTAGTGAAGGAACATAAAACTAATATGGAAATTATTATATCTTATGTTTTATGTAAGGGAAGTGAGGTAGCTCAGTGGTAGGGCACTGAGCTTCCAATGCTAAAGGTCCCAGGTTCGAACCCCGGGTCATGGCTGAAAATTTATTTATCAGTTTCATTGGGCGTGGGGCGATCCTCCTGGGGCACACCCAGGCTCTATAAAAAGTGGGTACCCTTAATTAAATAATTGATTAAGGGGAAAAACCTGGCGGTTGAGCGTGATCTCGGTCAAACCACCTCCTTGCACAACCGTTGACCTAGAAACAGTGCTTTCCCTAAATAGTACTGAGCCCAAGATCCTTCATTGGTTGTTGTGGTGCAGTTTTTTTTCTGTGTTTTTTTTAATGTATTATGTGAGGAAGGAATTAATTTTTTTTTAAGAATTAAGGAATTATTTTTTTATTTAATGTATTATGTAAGGAAGGAATTAATGTTCTTGGTGGATTACAATATTTCAATTTACATGATAGACCAAGATATTTGTACAAATTATTTCTTATATTATTTGATGTTCAATCAGGACGTAGGATGTAGCACTGCGGGAGGCAGTTGAAACACTTCATCGTTTATTAACATGCATTAGAAGAATATGAGATAAAGAAAAATAAAAAAAGATAAAAGAAAAGCATTAAGAAATGTCTCTTAAGATGGGTAAAGAGTCCCAAAACGTTGGACGGATAAATAAATGACATATTTGGAAGAGAAAAATGTTCATACATTATGCCTAAAATTGTACAAATTACTCTTCTAGGGCATATTTTTAAACGCTGAATATTACTTTTTATATTCAACTGGTCCAGTAACAATTGGAATTACCGCCAGTTCTTTTACGTACGTACCCTCTAAGGTTTATCGAAACGGTTCAATAATCTAAAGAACTCAAATTCCTTTCCATAACGATATTTAAAAATATCTTTTGATTCAGAGAAATTTCGAATATAAATAGCTTTCACACTTCCCTTGCTTATGCAACCTCATGAACATACCAAAAGTAAAATCCTTCATACAAACAAGTACACGACATTTTATTCTTCTACTCTCAACCAACCAAAGCCACTCGATCTATCTCTATCTTCCTTCCTGTTACCTGGTGGGCCTCAACGACGACTAGAAAGGCAGTGGCCTAGAGAGAGATCTTCTGCTGGCAAGTTAAGAAAATATGAAGAGTACTAGAAGATACAATAAACTCCAACACATTTGCTTAATACGTTACAACGCAGTGGCAAATTTAATGAAAAAAAATTATAAAAAAAAATTATTCGCTCATGTTTTGTAATTTTTATTTTATTCCTAACAAGTGGGAGGAGCCTCTTTCCAGATCGGCTCCCCGAGGCTATTTTTCGGGTTGTCCAGTCCTAAGGGCGAGCATTGTTTCAAGGAGTCAACCCGGTTCAGATTTTCCATTGCAGTGTCTCTATGGTTCGAAATTAATCAGTTTCCGCGAACAAGTCTAATGGTTAATCCATGTTTAAAGGTTACGTGTTTATTGGATTTTCAAGTTTGTTGTGTTTAACTTAAAAGATGCGCTCAGAATGTTTGGTAAAGGGCAACCATTTAACCTAACGCTTCAGCGCTGGCTGGCCCTTAACCTCGCTGACAGGCAAGGCCCTACCCGACAGAGCTCACAGAGCGAACGACACCTGCATACAGAGGCAGACAGTGCAATTAATGCGGCAGCACCTCGAGGGATAGACAATGGATACATTTGCATTGGATACAGCGGCGGTAATGAATGGGTCCGCGCCATCGCCACCATTGTTCTGTCGCTTGCTCTTAGTTTTTATCTGTCACCGCTCTCTGCCTCCCCTCTCCTTCTCCCTGCTTAATATCTGTCTTACATATCTTGTTCCCTTATACCTTTCCCATAATGGTTCTTCCTTATCGTTATAGTTAGGAGGACCGAAATGACATTGGTAAGGTTTTCATGAGAAAACGACCGAACTGATTTTGACGAAAGTTGTTTTCCGTTGTCACATGAAAGAACATACCAGGTGTTTTGATATGAATCCGGAATTTTCGTAAAGAGTGTATACGTTTATTCCATAAACATGTTAATGGGGATATTTTACATTGTATATATACAATAAAAAGAATCTTTCGAAAAAAAAACCTAAAATCATCACTATGAAACAGTCGTGAGACTGGTGATATTAAACGTATTGAAAACAATGGGATTTTCTGGTTTGGAGAAACTACTAAATAAAGAAGGAGAAATACTAAGAAATATTAGTATAATATGAATTATAAAATAACATAAAAATAAAATTGAAGTTATAAAACTTGTGAATAGAAAGTACATAAAAATATTAAAAACAATTATATAAAGAGAGTAAACAAAGTATAACGTAGTAACAACCCCCTAAACTGAGGTAAATAAATGGTAATAATTATTTTTGATAGGGAAAAATTGAATGTAAGAAGGAAAATGGATATTTATGAACATAATTATGAATATAATTCTACTGTTCACTAGGAAAGATAGAAAGAAAAAGGAAAAATAATAATAAAAAAGAAGAAGAAATAATAGACCTGCAGGAACTGTGAAAAAAAAATATAAAAATAGAAACTTATGGATGTATGCAGGATGTAGTTTCGGTTGAAACTGGGGAAACCATGGGAAAAGTAGCTAACCTGGTTGGGGGATGGTGGCGATAAGTAGTTAACAAAGTGAAAACCAGGAATATTACAATATCTAAAATTAGAAGATATTGATGGATACAACAAAATACAATATCTATGAACTAATTAGCTATACATATAAGAAAGAATTAAGAAGTTATAAATAAAAGTGCAATGTGAATACAAAATAAAAATGAAAGACTACACTGCTGAACTAATTTTAAAATATAAACAAGAAGCTCATATAAATTGTTAGAATTAGAACTAGTTTTGATATATTGTAAGAAAATCACATTTGAATATAAGATATAATTGAGAAATTATAGATAAAGGTAAAATAAAAGGTAAAATTATAGATGGTCGTGCATAGATGTAGAATGTTAATATATAAATAACACGAGAGATCATACAAAATGAAAATAATGTATGTAATAGACATAGAAATAGATGTAATGTAATAGACCAAGAAAAGAAGAAGAATAACAGAGAAACTGGCCTAAAAAATAACAGAGAGCTGAATGAGGGAACTGAAAACTTGCTAAATGAGGTTCTAATTTGGGCACATGAAAAGAATGAATGATAATAAGTTTAACAAACTGATACAAATATCGAAGTCAAAACAAAATGGGGGATCGAAGAAACGGAGGATAACCCAATCAAATTAAACAGGAAATAGCAAGACGTGGTATTACAGAAAAACAACACCAGTGCAGAGAAATATTCCGAACATTCATTAAGGTTGTAATGGAATAAAAGAGATTTGAAGGGGAAAAACAGACAAACGAAAGAGATGGATGAAGGAGATGACGAAGAGAATGGTGAGAATATGATGTTATAAGAAATTCGAGAAATAATAAAAATACGGTACTTAGATGACCATCATCAATAAAAATAAAAATGTTAAAAAATATTTTCCATTGCTAGCTATTTAAATATCTTTCATTCTTTTTTCCCATCTCCTTGGCAATTTATGTATGCCATACCAGAAAAGGGTTGCTATTTTGTAAAATATTAGTCATCAATCCATTTTGATAAAAAGTGAAGAGCTTTTCAGCCAAAGCTTGTCCCATTTATGCATTTATAAATATTATTCAGACTGAGCTAAGTCTGGTGAGGAAGCCTCACGTGATAATATTTCTCAACTGAACTCCTCAATCGTTTCCTTCCCTGGTTTGGTGTGTGTTGTGGTGCATTATCAGGAAGCAAAATCACTTTTTGTTATATTTTTTATATTCTGTTCGGTTTTGTGCAATAATCGATTCAAATAGATTATTTGTTGTCGATAGTATTGAATATTAACGGTTTTGCTATAATAGATCACATCAACGTTCCATATTCTTTATTTCTCTTGTCAAAATCACCACTTTTGATGTATTTTTTTAAACCTCTGAAAGCACTTCGAGAATTCGATGCGATTCTACAATAATTTTCTTTCCTCTCATATCTCAATGAGTGAATAAATTTTGTAATTGAAGAATTTTTTTATTATTATTTTTTTATACTTGTTTTTTGAATAATAATACAATAGCCACATTAATGGGTAACAAGTATTAGAACTACAAAGGATAACCGCCATGGGTCTGTTAAAATGTTCTGTTGCTCACTCCCCCTCAAGCTACAATTCATCACCCAAGAGTGGTTGTTTGGAAACAGATGTTACATCGCTTCTTATTGGTTCATCAGATAGGTCCTGTCCCATTACGCAAGATCTTTGACCAGTAATGTCTAATCTTTCTAGATGGGACAGTAATAAATCTCTTTTTTATTTTCCATTTTAAAAACCTCAAGATTTTCAGACATACCAAATTATTATTGCAAATTCGCCTATCGGGAAAATACGTGATCAAGGTCTCACTTAACAATAAAATTGTAAAATTCACTCCACAACTTGAGTGCAAAATGTATAATACTAAAGAAAAAGATACACCTTATCACATATTATTTAAATGCTCAATATTCAATAGTTTAAAGAGTATGAATTTACCAGGGTATGGGTAATCTTAATGGAATGGAAATATTTGAGCCAAATACTATTGAAGATATAAGAAGATTATATTTTTTCTTATCTAATATATCAAAATCTTCGCTGGCTTAAGTACCAGTGTTGCGGTTGAGAGAGTAGCGCAGGGTTCTCCTGGAGTTCCCTCGCCTGATTGTAAATAGTGTATATAGGTATGCATGTGTTTTTGCTTAGTTTTAATTTTCTTATTTTATTTTATATACTATTTGATTATTAGTTATTGTTATTTTGATTCTATTTATTTTATATTTTTTGTACATAAAGTGTGAATGTTATCCTGCCTCACTATAACTAGTGTCCATGGGAAAGATTGTTGTAATACCCAATAAAAAAAAAAATCTAATTGCAGTGAATTAGTGAGGGGAAGGGGGGTAATCAGGAGTGTTGTCCATTGAATATTATTTGTTTCTTTTCTTTGTTCATGCTAGTAATATTTTAATTGAATTTTAAAACATAGTTTATTATTTATATTAAAAAAATTATTTATTGATATTGTGTACGTGTTTTAACGGAATTTTATCTTTTATATAATTTTTAATAGTTGGCCTTATTTTAACTGTCTGATTTTTTACCGAATATACTTTTAAGACATTCTTGTAGTAATATTATAGCTGTAATATTTGTAATATAGTATAGAAATGAAAAAAGTATTTGTAATACCATAAAAGTAATAATGTTTGTTATACAAATATAGACTCTATGTGCATGTCCTTCCTTAAACAACCTAAGTAATTGGAACAAGTTAGGGAGGTACTGCTTAGTACTTTCCTTCCCCATGCCTGTCATGTCATTATTTCATGTATCGCCATCACATTTGCTGATTGTCAACAATCAAAAAAAATGTGTATGGTGTTCTTCCCTGGCAACAAATAAAGATTAAATAAACCCTCAAGATTTTATGAAAAATTAAACTATAAAAATTACAAATAATTATTTTAAGTTGTATCGTTATGATTGTTCAAACGATTTGATAATTCTCTCTCTTGTAAACGTTGTATATAATATCTTCAATCACAAGCGTATTGTTAACTCGGAACAAGCTATGTATAACAAACATTCCATGCATGAAAACATTTGCTGGTACATCAGCGCCGAGATATTCAAATGTCTGTTCCCGAGACATGCCTCTGCTCTTGGCGAAGGCTGCTCTGGCATAAAATATATCTCCTTGCATTCTATTTCCTGGTTTACTTTTCTCCGAGTTCAGGGTAAAATAAATCCGTACATATTATTCATAATTTATTCTAAATATGTCAACCTACCATTGATGTAAATAACTATTGTTGGAAACCCCTCAGTGCAATGTTGAGTTTCTCTATGCGGTCTATTGTTTAATTATCATAATGTGTAATTGAATTTTATGTGCGCATAATCTCGGAACTGCAGGCAGATCTGATGTATGGCTGTGAGACCTAGACAATAACCCTACAAAAAGGTATTGAATGGTTTGAGAGCGAAATCCTCCCTCCCACGATAACCAGAGCTATCTGAGATCATAGTGCTAATGCATCAGAGGCGACCAATAAAGAAGTGGTTACAGAAACTGGTCAATCAATATTTCATGTATGAAGAAAAGGAGGTTAAGATGGGCGGGACATTTAGGTCGGAGGAATCCATCAGGAAGCCTCTTCAAAACAATCAATGTCTCAATAGTAGGCAAGAGACCACCGTAAACACCAAAAACCAGATGGATAGATTGAGTGAACAAAGATGGTGTTACGCTGCATGCAGATGACTGGAAGGGAATAGCTGAGATAGGCAGAGATGGAAAAGGCATCAAAATATCCGAAAGTTCTATAATGTCAACAGAAAAAAAAGACAAAATAGGAATGGTTTTTACAAACTGTGTTCGCAAATTATTTGGAACTTTGTCTTTCTCTCTTACTGACGAAGGTAAGGTCTTGAGCACTCGCCGATTTGATGTGCGCTTTCCAATCCGGTGAAGAAACATAACGTAGTTACATTTGGTAATTGGTTAAACCACGGGCAGTTTTAGTGCCTGTTGTTGGAGGCGAAGGCGTTACTTGACCAACAATGATCGTAAAATTAACTTAAGATTTATGCCCAAGTCGGTCGCCGCAGCTTTTCCATTTGTTTACGGTCAGTTTGTGGCCTCTCTCGTTACTTTCTCAACCTCATACTCCGCTTTAAATTTCCTTATGTATACCTCTTGTAATATTTATATATTTGTTATAGTTGTTGCTAAAACCTCCTAAGATTATTCTTTGGAGCCCAAGATGCTCTCGGGTCTCTTCCTGGTTTCATGCATTCTCGCATTAATTACTCCATAATACAAGCAAGATAGAGCAAGATCTCATGCGCAAATAATTTCATCTCTCATATAAATACTTCATCAATAGTGCTACTACATTTTAAAATCCTTTACTCATATTCATAGGTAGTCAAGTCTCTAGCTTTTATAAAAGATATGTGTTGTTTAACATCACCTTCTCGATGTTCAATACTCCCCATCATTATATCGAATAAAACTATTGATAAGTATACTATCAATAGTTTTCAAATATATCAAAATATCACTAAAAAGAAGAGTTCCTTTTTGCATATTCTTTATATTTTCAGTCTCATCATGAAAAAAAAAAAAAATATGTCTCTGATATTGTGTTTAAAAATACTCTCAGTTTGATATGCACATCAAAGAGGTGACATCTCGTCTGAATTTTCATTTGTAATTTTTTGTAAAAATATTTATCAAATTTTAATACCGATATTTATATATAACTCTACACAATACTGACCTTACTCTCAAAGAAATTATTTTATTGGTTATATTTGTGGATTTCTACCTTATCTAGGCTACTTAAGTGTTAATTGATAATGATTAATATTATTTATTTAATTTTTCCTGTTCATTGTCAGACCGGATGAAATCACATGTTAATATTGGTTGTGAATAACAAATGTTAATAAAGGCACTAGTGATAAATCTTCGTCGACTGTTAGCGAACGACATGCTAACCCGAGAGATCACGACATGACAGAAGCCACGTGCACATTACCTTGACGTGTTATCATGCTTTGTTATCGCTGTGATGTACTACAACGGTTCTTAACTATTTTCTTAGCTATTTAACTAATTTGGTTGGCTTAGTTGCTAATTTCATCATTTGAAAAAAATAAATAAATAATGATTGAGAGAAAAAATTTTTTTTTTTTTTAAATTTATTTTAAATGATATTTACAACTGTATACAAAAAATACATCTGGTAAATTCGCACATTGGTATAAAGACATGAAACACATGTTGAGAAACTACCCATTGGTAGCACTCTAATAATATGTCTATATTAGAAGATCACGTGGCCATCTTCTTTTCAGACGCCTCGGAGGGTTATCAGGAATCGAATAGGAAGCAAGGTTAGAGACAAGAGGGTTAGGATGGTTATGAAGTTTATTATGGAAGGACAGGTATCTGGATTGGGCCAAATCTGATACATAAGGAACATTAAGGTCATTATGGATAATTTTATTTGTAACAAAGTAAGGAGCATTGAGGATTTTACGAAGGATTTTGGATTGCAAAGACTGTATGCGAGAGGAATTTGAAGGCTTGGTGGAGCCCCACAGCTCAATCCCGTAAGTCCAAATAGGCCTTATTATAGTCATGTAAATCAGTCTTTTATAATTGATTGGAAGGTTAGAGCGTTTGTCTAGTAAGTGTTGAAGTAGTCGGAAACGTCGAGCGGTTTCTTGTCGTTTCAGTCTGGTATGACGATTCCAAGTTAGACGTTTGTCCAGATGGAGTCCTAGGTAACAGATTTGTTCAACAGGAATAAGTGAGGTGTTGTTAAAGGATACTGAAGGACAGGAAGTCATTGGTTTACGACGAAGGGTGAAGTTAATTTGATGGGATTTATTGGAATTAATTTGAATTCTCCATTTCTGACACCATTCTTCAAGGTTTGTGATGTGGGATTGAAGGGTTTGGGATGCAATAGATGGGTCGTTATTGACTGAGACGAT